TTTATGTTCGAACCAAATTGACTACCTTTTATGCATTGTATAATTTCACTTTACACATACATTCCATCGCTTCGATACTAACATTAAATTTAACCATTACTCACTGCTGACCGTGCTAACATATTTTACATGCAGTCTATGTTGCTATTTTTTACTAGAGACCTGAAGCACAATACCAACCTATAAAACATAATATTACCGTAGATAAAATATAGTATGCAACTCACCATTTGTATTCGCTAATTTTGTATATTTACCCGAATTGTCGTAAATTAGTATGCAACTCACCATTTGTATTCTATAATTTTTATATTATTACTCGAACTACCGTAAATACGCATATACAAAATAATAGTGCTGTATAGTAATTCACGTTCAGTCTATAGTCATATTTAATCAGAGAAGATTATATTGAGGATGTTTGTTGGTTTGGTCATACTGTAAGAATGGTATACATTCTTCGATTCATGTTCTATTTCTAGTAATACTTCATACGTGGATGTACGTTATATATCGTTTGCAACGTAACCTTTCACATTGTTTCAAGAGAGAGAGAGAGAGAGAGAGAGAGAGAGAGAGAGAGAAGCTGTGTGTCTTTTTTACGATGTCAGGTGCTAGATGTGGTCGACAGGTGGCGTGACGAGACGATAAACTGTAATAGACGCGGAATCTCATTCAAACTATGTCCAATATTTGATATAGCACCGTTTTTTTTTTTTTGGTGATGATTCTCTGTTAGCCTCACTTTCCTCCAATATCTATTATGCTAAACAAAGATCCGATATAGCACCGTTTTAGCAATGTCTTTTTGTGTTACATATTTCTCCTCCTCTTTCCAAAGCGCCATCGTACTTCATGATCGGGCCTATAGCAATAAAGATATGATGTAATGTCCTTTTGACATTGTCTTTGTTGTTTTTTGTCTTAACATATTTCCCGTCACCTCCCCTTTTCATTTAACGTATTACACGTAGTAATCTGACCAATAACAACAGAGATACGACTTTTTTTTGTCTTAACATATTTATCACCCCCTCCCCTTTTCGTCGATACCTCAGACATTGAGCCGTTAGGACGTTACAAACGTAGCGCCGATGTCTTTGCGTTTTATTTTTATCTTAACATCACACATTGTTGTACGTTGTTGTACATTGATGTACGTTGAACCGTTTGGACGTTGCAAGCTTAGTGTCCTTCTGGCATTGTCTTTTGCGTTTGCTTTTTATGCTAATATATTCATTACCACCTCCCCTTTCCATCGATACCTCACACGTTGTTGTACGTTGAGCCGTTTGGACGTTGCAAGCTTAGTGTCCTTTTGGCACTGTCTTTTGCGTTTTGTTTTTATCTAAACATATTCGCTACCCTCTTACCATTCTAACGAGCCTTCATACGTCACGATCTGACCAATAACAATAGAGATACGATATAGCGCCGTTTTGGCACAGTTTTTGCGTTTGATTTTTATCTCAACCTGTTCCCCGTCCCCTCCGCTTTCCAACGATACCTCATATGTCGCGATCCGACGAGCCGTCGCGCCTCCACCAAAAAAAGCGTCAAAAATGAGCAGAATGAACCTTAGCGATTTCTTATGGGATTTTACATGGGAAAATACGCCGAACTCTTGTTGCCCTTTTACTGACTTTTATATTGATTAATCTCATTTGTATTATAGTATTTGATACGTTTTTTATGTTTATTTATATTTTTTCTGGAAAGCATTGGCCAAATAACAAAGAAATGATTTTCATAAATACAACTCATTGCTTTTCTATATCCCAATTTGGTACTGAAAAAAGCTCCTCCCAGTCTTCATCTTGCAGCATTTGCCTAAAATTTTCTTTACTGTGTACTGATTTTCTTAATTTTTATATTTTCTTTTTTGTTTACATTAATACTGCAAGTTATTTTTCGACCAAGATGATCAAAAATATGAGTATCTAATACTTCTGCTAAATAAAGTTCACAGTTTGTAAAAATGTTAATACACGTCTTTGTAGCTCTACGTATGGGAGTATATTCAGAAACTGATGGCAATATATTAAATGTTTGTAATAAATAGAGAAAGTATGTTATATCTTTAGTTTGACTCCTAAAACGTACATTTAAATCACCTGCAATTAAAACTAGAGAGCTCTCACCTGAAATATACATTAAAACATTTTCTAGAATATCTAAAAATTCCTCCTCACAAGACTTTGGTACGATATATACAAAGAATTAAAATTTTGCAATTTGAGAAACACACTTCTACACATGAACATTCAAAAACATATGCTTTTGCCATAGCACTTATATCTTTTCTTATCCTCCATGATAAGCTTTCTTTTATATAGATTGCTGTGCACCCATGTTCGCCTTCATCTCTACAGAAATCAGAAACTAATTTGACACCCATAAAATTGTTATTTTGTAATTGGGTATTGGATTTCTAATGTTCACTTAAACAAATTGCGATGCACTCTTTATGTTGTAAGATCTTGGATTGTATCCATACAATTTCTCACTGATTGAGCATTTTGATGGATGATACTGCTGTATATGCTGATGATCTAGGCCTGTTTGCTTTCACCGACTGAAAACTCTAGGAAATGCTTACCTAAGGAAAAACTAAAATAATTACGTTTATACGAAATAGCAGGGCTAGAGATACAAGCACTGGTCAAAACTTTAGCGTGGGGAACTAAAAGTTTAAGATTGTAAATAAATTCATATTTCTAAGCTCTCTTATGACAAATTATATCAGCATCAGCATATAGCAGGAAATAAAAAGAAGCATATTAATAGCGAGTAGGCGTTTTTTTTAGATTAAACAAACACAAAATAGATGCATTCCATGTACTTATCTTCAAACGAAAGATTCTCAAAAGAATAAATGTAAGAACATTATACCACTATCACCAAATTCTCTATGGTCTATGTCTCAGTGCAGCATATCAATAATATGAAACACCAAAAATTTAAAATGGAGGAGTATATAATCAGTTACAAAAATGGGCTTAATAATAAAAATCAACAAAACGAAGTATATGAAAATAAGCACGCAACCACAAATCCTACGACCACTTGTTATAGAAAACGATGTCATCGAAGCAGTGAACGAATTTGTATACCTGGGAACGACTACTTTACACTGAAAATAATACTGTGGCAGAGATAAACCACGATTATATCGAGAAATACACAAAGTTCACAGTTTGTAAAAATGTTAATACACGTCTTTGTAGCTCTACGTATGGGAGTATATTCAGAAACTGATGGCAATATATTAAATGTTTGTAATAAATAGAGAAAGTATGTTATATCTTTAGTTTGACTCCTAAAACGTACATTTAAATCACCTGCAATTAAAACTAGAGAGCTCTCACCTGAAATATACATTAAAACATTTTCTAGAATATCTAAAAATTCCTCCTCACAAGACTTTGGTACGATATATACAAAGAATTAAAATTTTGCAATTTGAGAAACACACTTCTACACATGAACATTCAAAAACATATGCTTTTGCCATAGCACTTATATATTTTCTTATCCTCCATGATAAGCTTTCTTTTATATAGATTGCTGTGCACCCATGTTCGCCTTCATCTCTACAGAAAGCAGAAACTAATTTGAAACCCATAAAATTGTTATTTTGTAATTGGGTATTGGATTTCTAATGTTCACTTAAACAAATTGCGATGCACTCTTTATGTTGTAAGATCTTGGATTGTATCCATACAATTTCTCACTGATTGAGCATTTTGATGGATGATACTGCTGTATATGCTGATGATCTAGGCCTGTTTGCTTTCACCGACTGAAAACTCTAGGAAATGCTTACCTAAGGAAAAACTAAAATAATTACGTTTATACGAAATAGCAGGGCTAGAGATACAAGCACTGGTCAAAACTTTAGCGTGGGGAACTAAAAGTTTAAGATTGTAAATAAATTCATATTTCTAAGCTCTCTTATGACAAATTATATCAGCATCAGCATATAGCAGGAAATAAAAAGAAGCATATTAATAGCGAGTAGGCGTTTTTTTAGATTAAACAAACACAAAATAGATGCATTCCATGTACTTATCTTCAAACGAAAGATTCTCAAAAGAATAAATGTAAGAACATTATACCACTATCACCAAATTCTCTATGGTCTATGTCTCAGTGCAGCATATCAATAATATGAAACACCAAAAATTTAAAATGGAGGAGTATATAATCAGTTACAAAAATGGGCTTAATAATAAAAATCAACAAAACGAAGTATATGAAAATAAGCACGCAACCACAAATCCTACGACCACTTGTTATAGAAAACGATGTCATCGAAGCAGTGAACGAATTTGTATACCTGGGAACGACTACTTTACACTGAAAATAATACTGTGGCAGAGATAAACCACGATTATATCGAGAAATACAAAAATAAAACTGTACAAAACGCCCAGTCCTAACATATGGTTCAATTGGATATGGACCTGGACTCTTACAAAAAGTAATGAAACTTTTTTAGAATGTTTCGAAAGAAAAGTACTATGGAATCTATGGAGCAATAAATGACAATGGAGTGTGGAGAAGACGATACAACTTCGAACTTTATAGAATATACCAGGTAGGGCTTATAATGCGGATGGAACAAAATGAACCAGCTAGAAAACGCTCCTTGATAGACCCATTTGTCAGAGAAGAGGAAAACCCAGAACAAGACTACTTGATAACATCGATGAAGACATGAGAAATATGGGAATACTTGCTTGGTGGAGGAAGGCGATGGATAGGGACGACTGAAGAGAAATTCTTGAGGAGGCTAGTTCCCACGCAGATGCTATCCAACAACGCTATCCAAAATGAAGCAGAAAAATAAAGGCATTATTAAAGTCCGTAGATACAAAAGTAAAAGTACTGTGCAGTCATAACTGATTATGGTAGAATCATTTAGAATTATTACTATACCTTTGTTTTTAAATTCGTTACTATGTAAAACGTTTTCATTAATTACTTTCGAATTTTAGCTTTAGACTGTTCCCTCTACATAATACCAGCTTTAAGTCTAGTTGACAAAAAACAAAAGATTGACTGCAAGTGGTCCTTGACTGACTTAACACATTTTCCTCGACCCCTTCAAATTCCTGATTCAAAACCAACTAGTGCTATCTGGTGGCAAACTTTGGATTGCAATCAAAATGCTTTGGTTGGATTTGAGAATGGAACTATAGTTCTCATAAGTCTGACGGATGGAAGATGCTTAGGAAGCTGTACTATTGGTGAGATTGTGGATAGCCTTAACATTTGTCATGACAACAATTTGGAGATAATATCTTTACTGGTTGGTATAATATCTAATACAATATTTATTTTTGTTTATTAATGTGCAAGTGTAGCAGATATAATCGGTGATTGGGGCGTAAAGCTAGCAATATTTCATCCTTTAAGCTATAGGGAGTGTAATCAAGGGAAATTTATTTTGTCATTACAGTGTAACTTGAATAATTTATGAAGTTTGTTACAAAAATTTCAGATTAATGGTTCCAGTGGTCAACAGTGGCGTTTAGTATTAGAGCAGCATTCTACTGGTTATCTTTGGCCCCCAGAAGCTTATACACAAGTAAGTATATTTTTTAATGCTATATTCTATTCTCAGGCAATTCAATGGCTCTTTCATTCTCATGATATTTATTTTCTTCCTCTTCTACGATATCTATCTCGATTATATTTTGATGAAGTTATTATTTTGGACTTTTTATTATGTTCTCGAAATGATTCAATATTAGCTTTGTTGAAGTTATGAGTCACAATGTTCTAATTGCGGCTCTGACGTAACAATAATTCTAGAAGTCTTTTTTTTAATGGCTTTGAATTGCTTGATCCATTCAGCCACGATATATAATGAATTAATCACTTTGTCAGCACAGTTCTCGAACTCGTTATCTGTATTTTTCTGGAATATTCTTTTAAAGTGCTGATTTGGTATTCGTACCTTCGATGGAACTCTAGAGAACGTTGAAGAGAAGAAAAAGAAGCTGAAGAGAAACGTTGTCCGTTTCTCTTCAGCTTCAGGAAGACAGAAAGTTGTTCGTGAGTCTTATATAAAAAATAGAAACCTCAAAAGTGAGTAAGGAAGATATGAAAAGAGAAATCGAAGGGACAAAGGAAGATATGAAAAGAGAAATCGAAGAGACAAAAGAAGACATGATTAAAGAGATTGAAGTAACAAGAGGCCTAGTAGAGAAAAGACACGATGAGGTAACGAGAACGCTTGAATATATCCCCATGGAAATTAAAAAGATCCAGAAGCTGAGAGTTGAGAGTAAATCAGAAGAGATTTGTCCCACTGTCAACGGAATAATTAAGCTTCCTACATTTTACGGTGAGACCTCCTGGTTGTGGAGCTAGATTAAGACAATTAGAAGCCGTTGCCCAAAATAATGGATGGACAAATGAACAGAGAGCAACTACTCTCATATTAGCACTTCGAGATAAGGCTGACGAAATCTTTCAAATAATCCTAGAGGATGCACAAAATAACCATGAGACCATCGTGTCAGCTCTAGAACTAGGAAGTAGAAAAGGTGGCACGACTCGCTTGGTCTGAAGCTCCGGAAGAGTTCCTACACCAATTCACCATTCAGTTTTTCCTTGATGGCCTGCGCGATGTAGATCTCCAGCAGACATTACGACTACGAAGAGACGCTACCAAATATTGAAGTGTCTACAGCTCTCTAACTGTTGATGCAGTTGCCGGTTTATTTAGAAGCATTGCATTGCATTGCTTGTTCGAAAGCTCTCTGGCACTCTTCGCTCCATGTATATTCTTTGCCTTCTTCTGTCAACTTTGTTAATGGCTTGGAGATGTTGGCAAATCCTTTGACAAAACGTCTATACTGTGTACAAAGGCCAAGAAAACTTCTAATTTCGTGTTTATCTCTTGGTACTGGCCAATCCTTAATTGCTGCAAGTTTTTCAGGATCAGCTGTTACTCCATTACTTGCTACAATATGTCCCAAGTACTTCACTTCTCGTCGAAACAAGTGACATTTCTTCGGACTCAACTTTAAATTCGCTGCCCGCAATCGTTGAAAGACTTCGGTCAGATTATTGACATGTTCATCGAAGGATCTTCCAACTACAATTACATCATCCAAATAAACCAGGCATGTTTTCCATGTTAGACCTCTTAAAACTGCCTCCATTAATCTTTCAAATGTGGCCGGAGCATTACATAAACCAAAGGGCATAACTGTGAACTGCCAAAGCCCTGATCCTATCGAGAATGCGGTTTTCTCACGATCAGCTGGCTCCATGTCTACTTGCCAATATCCACTTTTCAGATCGAGTGTGGAAAACCAACGAGAACCAGAAAGTGTATCCAAAGTATCGTCTATTCTCGGCAAAGGATAACTATCTTTTTTAGTTACCGCATTGAGCTGTCGGTAGTCAATACAAAAACGTGTTGAACCATCTTTCTTCTTTACTAGCACTACTGGTGATGTCCATGGACTGTTCGATGGTTCAATTACCCCTTGTTTGTTCATATCTTTGATGATGTCTTCGGCTTCATCTCTTTTTGCAAATGGAAGTCGTCTAGGTTGTTGTCTGATTGGCTGAGCGTCTCCGGTATTAATTTTATGCTTTACTATGCTTGTTTTGCCATTATCCTTCTTATCCATGGCGAAAACATCTTGAAATTCTATCAGCATAGACTTCACTTTTTTAGTTCGTTCATCATCAAGATCTTGGCACGTTTTAATCATCGTCTCAACAAGCTCCTTTGGATACTTAGATTTCGACAGTTTCTCATTAGTATTCATGGAACAAATCGAAGCCACGGGAACACACTGTCCGATCAAAGTTCTTTTACTTAGCTTAATATCAGTTCCCTTCAAATTCATAACTCTTACAGGAACGACATCTCGAATTCTCACCAAAGCTTTTGCCGTTAGGAACTCGGCATTGTTCACATCTTCGACCATCCTTAAACTTCCCTCTCGGCAGTAACCATCAGGTCTGGTCATCAAAATTTTCTCACTATTACCAGGTATTGTTACGTCGTAAGTAGTTATTAAGCTGATAACATCTTCTTTCTCTTCATGAAACGGCAACTCTTCACCACTGATCTCGAGAACTCCATCTTTGACATTCAATACAGCCCCAACTTTCCTTAGTAAATCCATCCCCAATATGAACTCATCGGAGATCTCTGCAATTAATACTCTATGTTTCACTGTGGTCTGGCCAATGGATACTGACATATTAGCCTCGCCATATGTATTAATTATCTCACCAGTTGCTTTTCTAAGCTTTACTGTTGCAGGCGATAATTTAAGATGGTCTCGTACTACTTCTGGCCGTGCAATAGTTCTTGTTGCACCTGTATCTACCAAAAACGATCTACATTTATTGTTAATACGACCCTCGATGTACGAGCTATGAATTCCACCGGAGGACGTAATGTTCACAGTTACTATGGGGGCTGTATTTCTCGAGGTCGGCAGTTGCCCCTTAGTGTCGACCCGTTCTAGTTTTCCGACTGTTGTATAATTTTCTTGCAATTACGACGAATGTGACCTACGTCACCACAATTCCAACATCTGGGCTCGCGTCTCTTCGGCATCGTGTTACGAACTACTTTTCGTACCATCTCTTCCAGACGTTCATCGTTTGGTTCGTCGCCTTCTTCAATGGTTCCTACTCGATGGCTCCGTGAAGTTTGACTAGCTGTTTCATGTTCTAAAGCAATAGCGAGCGCTTCATCTAGAACTTTCGGTCTTGCTAGTTGTAAAGCTTTCTGCAATTCACTTTCTTTTAACCCATTGACGAAGGTATCTACAGCAATTTCTTCCAAAATGTTGTCTGGTACCTCAGGATAAGCCAACCGTACTATACGAGCAACATCTGCTTCAAACTCTTGCAAATTTTCACTTGCTCGTTGAACTCTACTTCTTAGTTGCGCCTTGTAGACTTGTTGTAGATGGGCATCTCCGTAACGTTTGTCTAGTCGAGTAAACAAGGTCTGGTAACATTTTTCTTGACCCTTAGGAATCGATCTTAGGATATCTGCAGCATCACCTCGTAAAGCAGCAGTCAAGGAGACAGCCTTTTCTTGTTCTGTCCAATGATCGGCTGTCGCAATAGCTTCAAATTGTCTAAGGTATATAGACCAAGACGACTTTCCATCAAATGGTGGCAATTTGAATCTCATATGATGTGTCGATTCGTCTCCCGGTGATTCTTCTTTTACTACCGGATCTAAAGCTACCGTATTAATTGGTGGTAGCACTTGCGTGTTAGTTATCATGCTCTCTAACAGTTTGATTTTCTCTTCTACGTTGTTTACATTTTTCTGTATCTGATCGAATGTTCTTGAGACTTCTTCAAATTTCTCATTGTTTTGATTACATACTTCTTTAATTATTTGAGAAGTCTCGTCGAATCTTCTAGACACATTTTCAAATTTCTCGTCATTTTGTTTAGCTACTTCTTTAATAATTTGTGAAGTCTCGTCGAATCTTCTAGATACATTTTCGAATGTTTCATCAAATCTTTTGGAAACGTTCTCGAATGTATCATCATTTTTTCTAGAAGATTCTTCAATCATATGCGACACATTTTCAAATTTACTATCATTTTGTTTAGAACTCTCTTCGATCATCTGTGAGACATTTTCAAATTTTCCATCAATTATTTTTGTTAAAACTGCTTCTTCTGCTGATTGAAACTGGAATGTATCTGGGTCATCTCCATTATTGTTAAGAACATTCTTCAGTCGTTCTTGGAGGATCTTCTTGGACCCGCTGCAGTCTTCATCGCGTTCTTCTAGTTGCTCACGCAACTGTTTCACTGAAAGTTCTACTAGCAGCATCTTTGATCAGACACACACGTACTTTTAAAATGTTCTCTCGTACAACGATCACTACCGAACTACGCGGATGTTCCCGACGAACAATATTTTTCAAAAGTTCAAAAGTCTCTTTTTTTTCACTGTTAAATTTATTTTTAAATAAATCAATTTTCCTCTCACGGTGACACCAATTGTAGCGTGTTTAAATAAAACGAGCGGTTCGAATTTATATAAATATATTTATTTATAACTTTACAGTTCGGTACTCTCTTATCAACTCAACTTAACTCCTAATTCCGTTACATATATATACCAAAGTATTATGTTCGAGAATATTCGGGACTAGTCCCACCTCTAATTCGTTATTTGACGGGTGGAATTTTACATCGCTTTGATATATCGCCAAAACTTCTGGGTGCTTCGAGATGCGACCGTTAGGCGAGCCGCGTTCGTAACAATACTTCTATTGATTTAATTATTACGTTTTTAGTCAGAAGATTCGACACGCTCTCGTCTATATAGCCTTAAACAGCTTGGTGTAGACAAATTAGCCTCGTTGAGACAACGCCTCACTGAAGCCAGAGGTACTAGAAGAGATAGCAATAGTGATTCTACTAGTGAATCGTCGCACACAGAATCAGTCAATTCAAATACTTCTGGACCTGAACTGTTGCCCCACTTATGTGATACACATTTTGCACCGCAATATGCTAGGAATAGATATTTGTTTACAGCCTTCTATAAGCCTACAAGTTTACTTACTGTAAGTATTATTTTTTTGCCAGTAATTTAAATTGAATGTTTTTAATACATTTACAGTGATTACATTACATTACATAAATTAGGACCAATAAACAATAGATTTAAAAAATATTAGACATACTTAATTATTTTGCTTTCGCTTGACTACTGAGAATCGCTACGAGTCGTGTCTTCAGTCTAACTAATACTAATACATATTTGATTCAGTTGTTCTTCTGAAGTTAAAATCCTTCAAAAATCTCATTAGATCTGTCCAGAGCCAGTTTTTATATTTTTTATACTCTTGGCCTGTGTGATAGAATTTTTCTGTCACCCAAGGATACCCAAATATTTTACATTTTGTTTTCTGTCAATTTCAGATGTAAATTTATAATCCGAGGATCGCATATGACGTTTATTGTTATTTATCCTCAGTTTGGAAATTGATTTGAAAAAAACCAAGATACTGTGTAGTGACCTTTTGGTAGTCGCTTTGTTACGTAGTCGGTTTGTCCTCCCTTTCATTTGTTACGTCGCATGTTAGTCGTTGTTGCCGTTTAGTTGTTTGTTTTGTTTTCAGTCAGAGCTGTTCTTTAAGTCAATAAATCAAAATTTGTTTTGTAGTTAAACTATTTTTATCCATAGTACCCTATGAAATCTCCTTTGTAACTATCTTCTTCTTCTTCAGTCTCAAATAATCCAACTTTGAACATAGGCCTCCCCCAAATCAATCCAGTGTCTTCTATTTTGCGCCACTTCCTTTTAATTGTACCCTCCGATCTTCTTAATATCATCCGCGCATCTCATTTGTGGTCTTCCTCTGCTTCTCTTTCCTAACCATGATCTCCATTGTTGTATTTCGTGGTTCCATCTCTTATCCTTCAGTCGGGCATTGTGTCCTGCGAAGCTCCATTTTAATTTGGCAGCATGTTCTTCTGCGTCTTTTACTTTGGTTTTGCTTCTAATCCATTTGTTTGTTTTTTTTTGTCTACCCCGAGCATTGATCTTTCCCTCGCTCTTTGTGTTTTTACTATTTTATCCATATTAGACTTGGTGAGTATCCACGTCTGTGAACCATACGTGAGTATAGGGAGGATACACTGATCGTAAATTCTGGTTTTCAAATATTGTTCTATTTTATTGCTTTTCAAGATCCAACTCAGTTTTACAAATCCTGCCCACGCTAACCTTATTCTTAATTTCGGCAGTTTGATTTTCTTTGTTAACTTTCATTATCTGTCTTAGGTTGATGTATTCGCTTACTGTTTCTAAATTTATGTCGTTCAACGTTATTTCTCTAATATTTGGTGTATTTGTCATTATTTTCGTTTTTTCCAAGTTCATCATAAGACCTACTTTTTCCGAAGCTTGAAATAGTTGCGTCATCATGGTCTGTAGTTCTTCGAAACTTGTAGCGAATATTACAATGTCATCAGCGTATCTTAAATGACTCAGTTTTCTTTCTTTAACATTTATTCCTTTATCTGCCCAGTTAATGTCTTTGAACACCTCTTCCAGGCTAAGTGTGGATAGCTTTGGTGAGATAATATCTCCAGGGCGAACTCCTCTGTTGATTGGTATAGCGTTGGTTGTCGCATCTATTTGTATTTTCATTTTAGTTTTTTGTAAATATTATATATGAGCATTCTGTATCGGAAGTCTATCCTGCAGATGTTCATAGCTCTCTCTATTGCCCAAATTTCTATGAAGTCGAATGCCTTTTCATAATCAACGAAGCCAATATATAAGTTCAAGTGATATTCATTGGCTTTCTCTATTAGAGTTCTGACTGTAAGAAGATGATCCGCTGTACTGTAACCCTTTCGGAATCCTGCCTGCTCTACCGGTTGATAGCTATCGAGCTTCGACGTTAACCTGTTAGTTATTACTCTCATAAACAGTTTGTACATTTGGGACAGCAGGGAGATTGGCCTATAGTTCTTCAGATCTCCCCTGTCTCCCTTTTTAAAGAGAAGTATTGTCAAACTTTCATTCCAATCATCTGGGACTTCTCCTCTGTGAAGACATTGGTTGAAAACATTTTTCAATTCTTCGAGAATACTTTCACTCCCCTCCTTCAACATTTCTATAAGTATTCCATTTGGACCCGGAGCCTTATTGTTCTTTAGTTGTTCCATAGCTTGTTTTATTTCGAAGGATTCTATGTTAGGGAGTATTTCTGAGTTTACATTCGTTATCTTTCTCTTAAAATCTTCCTTTGCAGTATTATCTAGATTCTTGTTTGAGGAATATGTAACTATGTAACCTATGTAACTATACGTTTATTAATAATGAAGATACTGTGAAGTGACCTTTTGTAGCCGCCTTGTCTGTTTTTTTATCTTAATATATTCGTTGGATCCTTCCCTTTGATTTATCGCATCACACGCTCCAATCTGACCAATAACAAAGAAGATATGGTGTAATGCTCTTTTGGCAATGCCGCAATGTGTGTTTTTTCTGTCTCAACATATTCACTGCCCCTTTCCTTCCCAATGATGTATCATACGTCACGATCCGACAAGCTGTTCTATCCCCACCACAAAACGCTCAAAAATGAGCAGAATGAACCCTAGTATTTTCTTATCGGATTTTACATGGGTAATGAAACAGAAACGGTATAGCACTCTTTTTACAGGTATAGCTTTTACTTAATTTTATTTAATTATTATTTAATTTTTCGTAATTGTGTTTTATTTAATTCTATTTACCTTTATTTAATTTTATTTAGTTTCAATTTTATTTTATTTTGGTGAAACGTGAATTTGGTGGAACGTTTGGTGAATTTTATTTTTATAGTAAGTGTATATGTGTATCTTACATAATGTCGTATAATAAATATATATTATACGTCATTGAATAATATTTATCCCTTAAAAGAGATGAATTCACAGGGGATTGGAGAAGACGCCGCAATGCTGAATTGGTGACTATGTATGGAACTGAAAACATAGTTAGACATATCAAGGCAAACCGAATAAGATGGGCAGGTCACGTGGTACGATCAGAGGATGACGGAGTGTTAAAGACAGGGCTTTTTGAAAGACCAGATGGTAGAAGATCAGTAGGCCGATCGAGAAAAAGATGGAAGGATGATGTTGAAGCCGATTTATCTAGAATAGTGGATGCAACGAAGACTCACCCCGAGTTGTAAAGCCAGTGAAGAAGAAGTCATTGATCTTACCGTACAATTACAGTAACCTATATTTTTAACAATTTTGTGAAAAAATTCATTACTGTGAAGTGGTAAAATTTCCGATTAAGAACATCGGAACCAAGAACGTTTTGTTTAACATCGTTTCAAGAACAAAATATGATTAAAATGTCAGATGTTGGTAGTTCATATTTCTTTCCTAGGTGGCGTAGTTACCTTACTGGACAAACAGTGTGACTTGTCATCCTAGCCATTTATATAGATAGATAAACTAGTACCGTATTGTTTTTTATATATAGTATGGCGTATTATTATATAGTAAGGCGTATAAATGTATATTATACGTCATTGTCAAATCTGTCTGTACGAAAAACATGGCGGCTGATGTAAAGTCCTATTACACATACAAAGTTTCCGTATGTTTTTTGTATAAAAACAGTCGTATATTCATGGCATAGACTGTAATCCTAAAACATAAATAAAATAGTGGATGTTCGTAAAAACTTAAAAAAATTAATTTTATTTATTTCTTTTAGGTGCATTCAGTAGACGTCGAATCGGCTCCTCTATATGTACATAAATTACCGCAAAAGACATCGACAGTTTTGCTAACAGATAAACTTATTTATACTGTCAGTGATGAATCCAAAATGGTTTCAATTATGAGTTCACATCTATCGGAATGCCGTTTAGAAGGAGAGGCGGTAACTAAATTATTAGTATTTTTATTTATATTTCACCACCTTATTTAGACTAGAAACTACTATGTAATTGTAGTATTTGGCTGAGTTAATAGATTATATACTAGGCAGTAGAAGACCTACAAGTAACATATTACTTCTTTTATAATCGGTATAATTGATGTTTTTATGGCAAATGCGTGCGTGGATAAATAGCTTCAAAACGTAGCTTGTCAAACATATCAATATTGGGACCGTGCAAGTTCGGAACAGCGACACCTGGTGTCGTAAATCAGCAAAATTTACTGCGCTTTCATGTTAGACCGAGGTTACCGGATAACTGTCAAGGACGTAGCCCCAAAAAAGAATAAGAAGAAAAAGTAAGGTTATGTCAGTATGTTATTAAAAGGTAAACGTTGTATGTAGTATAAATACAAATACAAATAAATATTTTATTAAATCACAGCATTGCTGTTAATATGGATGCAATAATAAAAACTGGATTTGAAAAGTAAATCGCCAAATAACTTTTCAACCAAGCACTGAGTCAAAGGGAAAAGCTTTAGTAGTGGCAAATGTCAAAAAAGAATGGAAGAATTATGTGGAAGAATTAAGAAAAATAAATTACCCTAAATAGTGCTAATGCATAAATTAGCAGGTTAAGTCCATGATATCATCATATTGGTTTGAACAATTAATTATTTCCCTGTAAACTTTTGGACAGCGAATATATCTTAATGCATCGTCAGAAAAACTTGAACTTGATGCATTTTTGTTAACTTCAAAAAAATAAAATTTAAACATTAAACTTGATTTTTGGTTTAAAATGAACTCTAAGTGAGTGTTATGAAACTAAAATTTACACTTAAAAGTGAACTTTTATTTATTATTTATTTCAAACTGACTTTAAAATCGGGCGCAAGAATAAAGCATAATTTAGGGTATGTTACTTATGCTCTTTTATGATATAAATCCACTTTTCTCTTTGTAGTAGCTTTGTGCTTTGAAGTTGGAAACGAATTAAACTTAAATTAACAATTTTTTGTTGTATTTTACAATTTATAACACTGCATTTCCTAAATCCTATTTTTCTTCAGTGACAGAAGGTGTAAATACACAAACGAATATGAAATATGACAATTGATAATATGAATTTATGAAATCTATGAAATGTGCAGTAAAAAATGCAAGATTTCTCCGCTACTCGCGCACGATCGTTTCTCGTATCCCCTCCAAGTACTTGCACGTCGCCAATATGATCATTGAAGTGATTTGTACTTATTTTTTCGGAAAAATTACCAAAGCAAACGTGAATATCATCTGGCAAGAAACTTGAATTTTTGACTAATTTCAGTGCTTCTTCAACTTGATGTCTCGTGATACTGAATTTCTTAAATAGGTTCGATCTTGTTTATATCATTATGTTATAGTTTTCCTTTAATCCGAAGATTTTGGGTTTAGATAGGACAAGTCTTGTCTGAAGTCAGAATACCAGAAGAAGGAGTATCAAAAAAAGTGGCCTTGTCTACCTTGATGTATACAATATACAATACAGACGCACCAATAACAGCGGAGAGACATGTCAGCCTCTACGCAGATGACACACTCGTAGCGATCAAAAACTGGCCCGATCTAGCTGTCCGATGCCTGCAAAATTCACATAATGAACTAGAAAAATTCTTCTTCTTCTTCTTAGCGTTCTGTCGTCCATGTTTGGACATAGGCCTCTCCCAACTCTTTCCATCGGTCTCTATCCTGAGCAACATATTTCCAATTTGTTCCGGCTATTCTTTTATTCTTTTATTCTTTAAAGACGTATGCATGAATTAAAGAAATGACCAGAGACAGAGATCTCTGGAGACGGACAATACACGACATCACGTCGACCACTACACTCCCCCTGGGGGGTCAGGATTGAAGAGAGAGATTATTTTAATGTCATCAACCCATCTCATCTGTGGTCTTCCTCTTGGTCGTTTACTTTCGTAAGGTCTCCAATGTTGTATTGTAGTATTCCAACGTTGGTCTTTCTGTCTAGCAGAGTTGCACGGAAGCTCCATTTAAGTATGGCAATTTTTGTTGTTATGTCCTCGACTTTTGTTTTGGATCTTACCCAGTCGTTCCTCTTTTTATCTGACAGTCGTATACCTAACATTGCTTTTTTCATTGTTCTTTCTATTGTGGCTAGTTTATTCATGTTTGCCTCGGTTAGGGTTTGACATCCATATGTCATGATAGGAAGGATGCATTGGTTGAACACTTTGCTCCTCAAGTATTGGGGTATTTTGCGGTTTTTAAGTATCCAACTAACTTTTTCAAATCCTGCCCATGCTAGTCTTGCTCTTCTAGTAATTTCCGCACTTTGGTTCTCTTTGTCAAGTCTCTTATGCGTACAATAGAAGATTACCATCAATCCTGAGAAATCTTAGGCAATAATGTTTAAGAAGTGAATAGAAGCATCTATCACTCGGTCAGAAATCTTAAATACAGAGATTGAGTGAAGTAATAAAGCCAAATATCTCGGAGTTGTAATGAGCAAAGGCCAACCATGTTAATTCTGTCATTAAAAAGGCAAGATCTCTCCAGACGAGATTAAACGGATTAAGTACCAGGAAGAGTGAGCTAAAGTCTAAGACGAAAATGAGACTGGTGAGCAACATCGTAATATCGATTTTAGCGTACGCTTTACTCGCTTGGGACATTACCTGAAAGACACACAGGAAGAGTATTCAGCGAATCTAGATAAGGTAGTATACATAGCATATATATGTATTAGACAGGTTCATGGAGAGACACAATGGAATAAGAGGAATGGACGAAAGAGCAGACAAGATATTCATGAAACTGACCAATTACTTAAACAGAACTCTGGGGAACCTAATAGGGTCTGATGACACAGGCAGATGGATCCTAGACCAAAGCTACAACTTAGAGCATTTGTATGAGCATAACATTTAAGTATAAGTACATTGTGAGATAAGAAAGAAAGTGTAGAATAGACTACTAACAAAAAATATACTAACAAAACAAAAAACTTAAAAACCAACAAAATAATTAAAAACCCAACAAAAATGGCCACAGGTGAGCCCCATACATGAGATATTCGAGACTTCGGGGCGCCGTGGGACGCTATCTGGGGCAGAGGCTCGAATATCTCAACTGTAAATTACAGCCAGAAGACAGTGATATGAAAAGAAAAGGAGAAAAACAAGATACGATTAAGATGGCTGTATTATGGGTACTCCATTGCCCAAAGCACCTAAAATTAATTCAGTGTGCTTAAAGTTGCTGAGGGAGGGGTGGTTGGATTGTTTGGGAGCTTTGAGAGGAAATAACTTAAACCAGTAACTCGAGGCTGGCATGAATCCTTCAAACCCCAAGTCACTTACTTTCGGTCACAGCTTGTTGCTGCACACGAATCAAAATGCCTTCCAAACCGGGTTAGCAAAAGTGTGTATAAAAAATAGGTAATATTTTTTACAAAAATTGTAGAACACTTAAAATTTTTTATCATAAGCCAACATGAACTTCTGGTTGTTTTTGTACCTTTAATACAATAACGATGATGTTCATTGAACATAAAACTTAAATTGAGAAACGTTTGGATAACTTAACTAAGGTATCTACTCAAATTCGTGCATAAAAGTTGTTCGTTTCAGTAACACCGATTACCATTTTCCCCGAATCATTTTATTGATGACATAGTTAGTTTTTGGCTCTACAAAACGATGTCTTATATTTCAAGTTACAATTTTCTTCTATCTGATGATTCAGCTGAAGATTTCTATCAATAATTTTCCATATCGTTACTGAATGATGTGTTGTTTTTGTACAAAATTTTACTAAATTATATTTTTATATTTGTTTTCCGCGGTCGGTATTTTTGTTTTAATTTACCCACCGTTTATTTGAAGTAAGTTAATGAGTACTTTCCCTATTCGCCATTTGATTAAGTATATTTATCACTTTATTTAAAAGCCATATTATATTAAATATTACCTTTTATTTGTAGGAATTCAATAGTGATGCAATGATAGCCCAATTTTATATAGAAAACGGAAAAATACTCAGGTTATTCAAACTCGTCGATTTATCTTCTGTTCGTTTGAAGAAAAGAGACGATAATAAAAAAGACAAAGTATATGAATTGCCAAAGACTGTAGATGATTTGCATTTGCAAAAACCAAGAATAGATACATGTATAATTGTAACTGACTCTTGTATTTATAAGATTGGTGTTTGGTAAGTTAATTGATAGATTAATAATTTCATTTCGCACGTTATGTTATTTAAATAATTTTTATTTTTAGTTATACACAATTTCTTATAGATGTTAGCATCGCATTTAACAACTGTTCTACTGAAAAAACAATTTGTAACACTTGTTTGAATTTTATAAAGTTGATTGACCTCCCAGGCTAAACACAAACTTAAAAAATTAAAAGTTTCATATTTTATTATGCTTTAGATTTCTCTTCATTCGACAAATGTATTTGGATTATCGCACACAAAACATAAGCCTTAATGTCGCACCATTTATTTGGAAAACCTTTAGCAGAATAAAATCAGAATTTTTTTGGTTGGTAACCAACAGTTACAGAGGCTATTGAAAGAAGGGATCGAGTGACATAATACTCTTTTGTAGGTCATATAGTTTTAAAACTGTTGTATATATGTATGTGTACATATTTAATTTTTCTATTTTCTCATTTTTGGTTGACTTGTAAACAGGACTCACTTCTGAGTATCCACATTTAATATATAGCTTGCGTTGTCAGTCTATCCATCTGAAGTCGAAAATGATAGTTTAGAAACGCTATATCCAGATAACTGGCTGAGTCGTTGGTTTCTTAACAAGCTTTCTTTTTATCTGATCATTATCACATTTATACAGATGGATCTAGATTATGTAGGATCACCAGTATTCCAAATTCTATTTTTCGGTTTCAACTATCACCTTTAAGCAGCGTGCTTTCTAGAGAACTGTATTCAATTCTGCAAGTATTAATTTATATAAATACTATCACCATTTCAAAATCCTCATTTCAGCAACTGCTTATAATTATTGACTTAGTGTATTACATGCGATAAAACAGCTGTATACAATTAATTCTATGAGGCATCGACAAAACATCAATTATATTGTTCTGAAGCTATTTTCTTGTGGCATTTTACAATGCCACAAGATTCCAAAATGCCATTCTTTTGAGAACGATTTCCGAAGTGGAAATTGAAACGTCAATAAACGTATTTTTATCTTTAATTTTGGCTTATTCCCAGTTTAATAGTAATTAAAACATCAATTACATATTAAATCTATGCAGCAGCCTTGCTTGAGACCCTTACTAATAGGAATTTATATATATTTTTTTATTTATTCCTTGTTTTTCCATTGCTATCCAGAGCATTGAAAGTGGAACACTATCGTGTGCCTTTGTCAGATCTATAAAGACTACATGAGTTAAAAGGTTGTGGGCTAATCTTTTCTCAATAACCTGCTTTAGAGAAAATATGCTGTCTATACATGATCTGCCTGCACGAATGCCATTTTGTTCTTCTACATCTGTCAAATCTTTTTTAATTTAATTTTTTATTATTTTTCCAAAGTCTTGAGAGTGAATTTATGACACTTAGCATATTAAACAATTCTTTCTATCTCTTTTTTTGTAGATGCTATTAATATGAGCTTTTGTCCACTCCGGTGGTAAGTCGCGTCCCTTATAAAATAAGGTGAAGACATACGCCCGTAATTCCCGCAATACTTGTGGGATGTGTTTTAATAACTCGTTCGGTATACCTTGTGGTCCTCATGCTTTTCGATTTTTTAGATTTCGATTGCATCTTCCTGTAATCGTCTTCATCATATTCCACTTCATATATTGTTGTAATGGCATTCGTGAATTGCGGTCTTGTTTCAGTCAGAAGTTGTGAGTAATGCTCGATCCAAGATCTTCTATTAAATCTATTCCACTCACTTTTTTTGTGTTTGTTCTTAGGTTTTTTACTGCTTTCCATGCTTCTCTTGATCTTGTTGACCCTATATATTTGTTGAGCTCTTCGCATTTATTTTCCTAGGAAACATTTTTTGCTTTAGTTACCAAATTTGTTACTTCTCTGTTTGATCTTGCGTATGTTCGTCTGTCATCTGGGTCATTTGTTTGCAGCCACTTCTGATATGCTTGTTTCTTGTTGTGTACTGCATTAGCGATGTCATTTGTACATCACAATCTTCTTCTTATGGTGCCTATCCGTTACGGATATTAGACACTAACATGGCTATTCTGACTTTGTTGACTGCTGCCCTGAAAAGTCCGGTAGTTGTTAAGTTAAACCATTTTCGTAGGTTATGCAGCCAGGATATTCTTTTCCGTCCTGGACACTTTCCCATACACTTTATCGGGAAGTATGGTCCGAAGTAGTGTCGTCTCCGGGCGATTATTAGTAAATGTAGGAAATTGAAATGCAACTTGGTACTATAACCATGTTTACTAATATCTCTAACTATTGCGCAATATTGTGCTATATTGCGTAGTTAGCCGGAACGCTCTGATTTGGGCATTGTCTTGAAAAGACAATGCTGTAGGTGTTGTAGGTAACTTAGCGTCAGAGTCTTTAGAACTTTTCAGAGCCCTTCAAAGTGAAGAGCCCTGGGGCTACCCTCTAAGGGTAAAACCAGACTGACTCTAAATCCGAAAATGTCCCATATTTAAAGTAAAATTAACTTTTATATGAAACCTTTTCGATTTTTAACCAATTAAAATTTGAATAAAACTCCAGAAGGAAGGGCGATGAACATCGAGGTGCGTGATTGGTGGCACCTGATGACAGTAGGTCTTATCGTTGTTCATTGCGCATTATATGGCCCAGGTATTCTAGTTGGCGACGTTTTATGGTTACGACTAGTTCGCGCTCTTTACCCATTCTATGTAGTAGTATGTACCAGTTAAGGTCCATGACTCCACGCCATATAAAAGAACGGAAAATACGTAGCATTTTAGTAAACTAACTTTTATTTCCAATTTTATGTCGTGGCTGTTAAAAGATTTTTTTCATTTTGACGAAAGCTGATCTTGCCTTCTCGATCCTTATCTTAATTTCCGTCGATTGGTCCCACTGTTCATTTAAGTTTGCACTCAGATAACAAAAGTTGGTGATTTGTGTTATAGGTTCTTGGTTAACTATACAGCGTTCCACGTTAAGAAAATAACATTGCGCAGATAGGGCCATGTATTTCTTATGGACGATAGAACCGCGACGATGCCACGTCAAACACCAGCATGATTCAGGGTTGTATAATTTGTATTTTCGTTTCCACAGACATGAATTAAATTAATGTTTTTTAATGTAATTGACCAAAAGTGCCCATTCGAAACAAGAGATGAAAAGTAGGGAAAATGATTTTAATTAAATAAATAGTATTTACAAAAGATAATTTTATTTTATCTTAGTAATCTTAGTTTTATCTTAGTTTTAATTATAGTAACGACACTTTATTTGTTTTTCGGTAAGAGTACCATATACCACGAATCATAGAAATCAGTAGAAAATATTGCTTATTAGTTAAATCGTGAACTTTGCCGGCTATTAAACATTTAAAAGCAAATAAACGGACCGCTTGGAATGCATATATTAAATTACTAATTGCAATTTAAAATATTACGGTGTGCGTATGTCAGCGATTTTATGTCGTTCTCTTAGACTACATAATGATAATAAGGCTTTGTGGTTCTTTAGTTGTTATACTGACTTTATAGTTAAATGTTAATTGAAAATGGAAATTCAAAAATTAAGCCAAGGGAATATCTTGAACATCCGTACAAATTATTTTAAATGTATTTAATTATCATCTAAACTTAAGAAGTGGTGAAAGTGTTAGAAGTTTAACCGATAAAGTAGGTGCTATGACAGGAGTAAGTTTGAGTACTATTTTTAAAATACGCAAAGAAGCTGCGGAAGGAGGACTAATGCCCATAAAAAAACTAGAAAACGTACCAAAAGTAGATTGAACAACAGAAAGTTCACTTACGATGCAGTAGTTCATACGCGGCTACGTGCCATCCTGCATAGTTTTTTCTTTAAAAATTTACCGCCGACATTGAACAGTTTTTGCACTGGTTAAAAAAGACAAAGATTTAGCAAACATGTCACGGACAACAATGTGGAGAATACTCCATGAAATGAATTTTTTTTTATGGAAACGAGTAGTGAAGTCAAGCAGGATTGAACGGCCAGATATTCTAAAATGGAGGCATCAGTATTTGCTTGAAATAAAAAAAATTCGACTAGTAAGACAATTAAAAATTTTAACTAGTTAATTTTCATATTTCTTTTTTTGTTATCAGATGTATTGAAAAAGAATTAAATTAAATTCGAAAGCTTGACAGTAAGTCAAAGAGTTTTCTTTGCCTTGTGGGCCAAATAAACTGACTACATCCTCAAGAATCACCACTTGATATATATATATATATATATATATATATATATATATATATATATATATATTATATATATATATATATATTATATATATATATATATTATATATATATATATATATATATATTATATATATATATATATATATATTATATATATATATATATATTAATATATATGTGTGTGTGTGTGTGTGTAACGTATAGTGTGTATAAATGAATGGACACTAAATAGAAAAAAGACTGGAATAACTACATAAGCAGAATGGGGGAGACACGTGTGGTCAAAATAGCATGAGATAAATCATTAATCGGTAGAAGTATCGGCCGACCGCGCAAAAGATGGAGTAACAACCCTGTAATTACGATACCCTGTATATTTCAAAATAATTTGAAAATGTAGCATTTATCAACTTACAAATTAATAATTTAATTTTCTTTTTAATTTTTTTACTCTTTCGCTGTAATCTTTCGTTCCGTTAGGGGTGATTCACCCTGTATACAAGGAAAAAATTGTATGTATATAATTGTTGTTATTACTTACATGAAAATAGAATTAAAACTGCACTTGTTTTTAATTAGTTATATCTTATTTAAAGCGTTAATCAATATATAATGTTACATAATAGTGAAACTTAACTATTTTTATTAGACCTATAATAAACGCATACCTATATCTGTCAATTAAAGAAATAGGTATTTATAATGCATTATTTTGTATTCAACTATACATATCCTTTTATTTGTGAAATTAATTAACTACAACTAAACAGTGCTGAATACGGTTCTGATTAGAATGAATCATATATCGACAATCTAATTGCAACGCATTCTTGAGAGTTTTGGCAACACTGATCTCTATAAGTGTAGTGTTATTTTCTTAACGTGGAATGAAATATAGTAAGTGACCAGGTGGTATCCTATTTTTGCTTATAACCATGTATTTGGTTTTTTGATGTTAAAATCAAACCCAAACCTGCTACTTACTTCTGCCACCCTGGAGACAAGTGTCTGCAGACCTTCAAGACTGTCTGCAAAAATGACAATATCATCAGCGTATCTTATGTTGTTCAATCGTTCTTCGTTTATTCCCTCGTCTATGTCCGTTAGCGCTACGTTCATAATCACATCACAATGGAATATCCTTTTTGTTCCTTTGGATCGTGTCCAAAAAGCAGCTTATGAGTGCTTCATAAGCTGCTTTATTAACTTTATTTATTGTCTCTTGGTGGGTATTCTGGGCTGAATACTAGATCAGGTTTGTTATTTTTTGGCTAAGCCGTAACATATATAAAAATGATGTTTAGTCGTTTTGCAGTGCATTAACATTGCATTTGTGTGGATTCATTTCCAGGGGTTGTGATTGTGATGGTTGATTGTCATTTCGATGTAGCGGTTGTGGTGGATACTGTAGAGTGATTTTGGTCAGTTCCGTACTCTGGTCCTCTTAACACTCTTACGTCGTCGACTTTTATGTATTTCTTGTTTTGTGATAACATAGTGTATAATTACCTAATGTTTCTCGTTGGTTGGATCCAGGTGTACTTTTGTATATATTTTTATGATGGTAGAATCCGTTTAGGACTTTGTACTGTTCACAGAATTGGATTAAATGTTCCCCATTTCCATTTATTTTTGCATCTCCGTATTTACCTACGACTTTGTCATTTGTTTTTTTCCTGTCTAAGCATTAATATCTCCCAACAGTACAATTTATTTGTGGCTATTTATATTTTCAATGAGTTCTGATAAGGTTAAAATTTTATTAGAATTTTGCTAAAAAGAATGTATCCGTAATCGCCAAAGTTGTTTAAGAGGTTATGTTTTAAAATCTTATGAAGTTTCTGAACCTTCTGAATCATTAAGACTTTCATCTTTAAAGAAAACATAAAGGTACACTACTATTTGGAATTTTTTAACATCTAGTTGTGGAATACTATTTATGAACTTCCATAAATATACAGGGTGGTCCTTAAGTAATTGTACAAAAAGGAACCGTAGATTCTGCACTTAAAAATATTACCATTTAAGTTAACTTGCCTTGATAAAATGTTGATATTAAGAAAGATACAGGGTGTTAAGTGGAAATTTAAAATTTTATTTGTCGCTATAACTTTCACGTTTATCAATATTTATAGATAAAAATTTACAACTGAATACTTTTTAACATGACAAATTATAATTTGATACACACTTTGATGTAGGTGATAGAGGGCGCCACATATGTGACATGTGTGGCATAAATTTGCGCTTAACTTTTTTGCTCTTTAAGATAGCGCTAGTTGTTTTAAAAAATATCAAAGACACATTATTTTTACAGAAAAAAGGTATACTTGTTAATAACTTAAAAACTCGACCATTTTCGAGATAATCGCATTTTATAAGTCAGCTGCATAATAATTCTTAGTTGTGATATTTGTGCGGTAAAGCAGTGAATACCTGTGAATAAGTATAGAATAAGTATAATTAATAGTTTGTTCGTATTAAAACAACTTAAATATTATACTGTAACATCACAAAATGCTTTTTTATGCTGATCGTAAAATGCTGAGGCGATCGTCACGGAAGAAGCGGTACGAGACGGCGTCACGAGTAGCTTTACGAAATAGCGGTCTTAACATCGATTTACTACTCTCTATCATTTCGTTTCTAGTCATCATAATATATTTTTAAAATTGTTCTGAAGCTATTTTTTGTGGCATTTTAAAGTAATTACTATTTAAATGGGAATAAGCCACAATTAAAGGTTACATTTTCACTTCCACTTCGGAAGTAAATCGTAATATTAAATAGTAATATATTTTTAAAGTTAGTTGTTAATAAATTCCTTTATAATCAGGAAAACTTCTGTTTTAAAAATCCTACATCGTTTTCATCCTTACCATTTTACACGTGTGCAAAATCTATTGTCAGCAGATTTACCTTTAAGATGCAAATTTGCAAATGATGTCCGAAACAGGTAAAATCTTGAACACTCCTTCGTCGATATAATATTTTTTACGAACGAAGCTAAATTTACACACCTAAAAAGAGAAAGGCATGTTTAACATGAATTTTAAATAAACGTATGATTTGAAACCATTGGTAATAATTTTTTACGGACATGCGAATTACGTTGTAATTTGAATGGAGACATTTATTTATATTTTTTACATTTATATTTTAAATAAGTATATTAATTTGTTGGAGGAACTGTCATTAAACTTAAGGCAAAATATGTGGTTTATGCAAGATGGTTCACCACCATTATCATAGAGAGGGGGCAGTGAGAACATACTTAAATACAGCTTTCCTGAACGTTGGATTGGTCGTGGTAGGCATATTCCTTGGTCACGTGGTGAGATATTACTAGTAGATAATAGATAGTAAATATCCCTAAGGAATACTTATTATTTATAATATAATATACTGCAGCAGTTTCTTTTGAATTAATGACGCTATTTAATATGAGACGATCTTTTATGGAATGTATTGACAAATGTAATAAAGAAAATAGTGGACATATCCAATACTTACTTTGACAAAAAGTTTAATGTTATCTAGTTTAATTATTTTTAATTTGGTTTGTTAATAAAATGTTTTGATTATGACTTTAATTTAATATAAAACGGACAATGTGTGATGTAAAATCCTATTATTCTGTTATTTTGACAAATCCTATTATTAATTATCCCACTGATATATTTATTTTATTTAGTATTTCGGTAAATATTAACTTAAGTTAAAGGTATTTCATACCAAAATTCAGAAGTATTGATGTTTTTGGCTATTTTTCCTTCGTTGCCTGTAGTAATTGCGTTAAATCAGAATTATGCAGCTAATTTGTAAAATGCGATTATCTCGAAAACTATTGAGTTTTTAAGTTGTTTACAGGTATACCTTTTTTTTTGTTAAAATAATTTATCTTTAATTTTTTATTATCAAAATTAGCGGTAACTTAAAGAGCAAATAAGTCAAGTGCAAATTTATGTCACATATGTAGCATATATGGCGCCCTCTTTCAGCTACATCAAAGTTTGCACCAAATTATAATTTTCCATGTTCAAAAGTACTCAGTACTCAAAAGTTATAGCGAAAAATAAAGTTTTAAATTTCCACTTTAACACCCTTTCTTAAATCAATATTTTATTAAGGCAAGTTGGCTTAAATCGTTAATATTTTAAAGTGCAGAATCTGCGGTTGCTTTTTGTACAATTACTTAAGGACCACCCTGTATATTAGGTATAATAAATGAAATATTATAATGTATATACGTTACATTCATTAAATTTTTATGGTATTGTAAACATTTTTTTCATGCAGTGGTGGAGTATTACTAAATTTGTCTGTTATCTCTGATACAGGTTTCTTTAGTGACTAGTAGTTTAATAAGATTTATTTCGTTATCCATGTATATCTCGACCAACTGACTTTTCGATGGCTTTTGTATAATACACACTCTTTATAACACTGAAATGTAATTTTTTTCTGAATAATAGTCTAGTCATTACGTGTCATATCTGTTATAGATGCATTTCATCCGAATAGTAGGTATACAATTGTATAGTAAAGAGTTAAAAAACTATTTACTTAAACATTTTCTGAAAAAGTTTTGAATTAAGTTCTGTAATAAAAAAATGTTTTTACTTCGGTAACACTGATAAGAAAATTTAAAATGTCTAATGTTCCCTTTTTTTAGTTGTATTTCTACGTCTGTATTAATTTATTTTTATTGATATTTTAGTTGTTCTCCTATAAAGAAATTCGTCGAATATGTTACGGAGGAAAATGATTTGGAAAGAGCTGAACAACTTTCACGCATATTCGGATTGAACATTCAACAACTACTAGAATGTTGTGGAGATCTACTAATCTCTCGAGGTTCTTTTCATTCCGGCATAATTTTATATAAACAAGCAAAAGTACATCTTCTTAAAAGAGTTCTAAAGCTCGCAATTTCAGCAGATTGTAAAACGTTATTAAAGTTTGTGCATCTGTGCCTCAGTGCTAGTAAAGTCGATATGTCTGTAGCTACAAAAATTCATATTGGAAATTTGGCTGTGATGGCTTATACTGAATTGATTTTACGGTACGGTGGACACCAGAGGATATCGAACACCAAGGATTTTATGTAAGTAGTTAACTAGTAGTACAGCTGCGGCCATTAAATAGTTTATACCCGTACATATCTATACTACTACGTTTCGCTGTCACTTTGCAGTAGAGACTCTTATGAAAAACAGTGTTGCAAGACATATATTTTAAGCAATTGATATTTTTGTTTTTTAGAAAAGTAAACATCAGCGTTCGTTGGCGTTATACCTTTTGTTTCTCGTTTGGTTTATCAACAGTACTCGAACATTTTAAACACCAGTTTAATTTAAGTTTAAAAAAAATTCAATAATAAATTGTTAGAATTTCAAGTCAGTTTAAGAACAATAAAAAATTGATACCGGTACGCACGAAAAATAATTCATTGTGGACCTAATTATAGAAAATAAGGTAGAATTTTAAATATGTATTTATCTAATTACGAACATATCTACGTTATACATCTTAAGAATAAAGTTAATTGGCCAAAACCAAATTAAATTAAGTTAAATATAATTTAAATTACTGGAATATTCTATTTAGATGAACTTCAAGTCTTTCCGCCTACTCAAAACCTACGCAACACTGAACTGCATGCTTCCATAAGATTTACAGAGCCCTATGCTGCTCCTACTGTGAAGTCACCACGAAACGCACTATAGTAGTCGATTTTTGTTAATGTTTACCTCGTTTACACCAATAACGTATAATATATAGACTCAGCGAATGCTGTAAAAAGTGTCACGAAGATGACAAACCTTTGTTTATGATTATCGTTATGATACGAAGATAGATGAAATTTACGATTTTGTACTGAGTTGACTCTGTGTTTGCATATTTTGTGACAAGCAAATTTTATTTTTAATTTTTGAGGGTCATTTACTTAATATTTTAGTAAAGTGTCATTTAAGTTTCTTTTTTGCGGTCGCGGAAATTCGAAAAGCCAAATATCACTTTTCAGGTAAGTCATTTTTGAAATGTGAAGGCGTTTAGTTTATTTAATAAATAAATTATTATACATTATAGTATAATAATAGTTTTTTTCATATATTTCCTTTTAACGAAGAAAAATAAACTCATAAAATAAACGAGCACGCTGGTATTTTAGTAAACATATTTGCGTTCTCAAACAACCGTGCTGTCATTTGCTGTCAAAACAGAAAACTAATAAAATGTCAAAAATTTGAATGAGTTTCAAACTGGTATAAATTTCATCAAATATACAATTGCATCAAACGATATCCCTGTTTCATCTGCCATATTTTAAAACAAATGCTGCATAGTCGTTTGAGAACGCGAGTACCTCCTAGTAGGTCTTTAATAACACCCGATTATATATAAAGTACATAAGGCTGCTGGGTCTGTTTATTATAAATCATTGGTTTAAACAGACATTTTACATATAAGTGACGTTAATTAACAGTGGCGGAACCAGAATAGGTTGACTAAAATTAAAAAATCAAAATAAAATTAATATATTTTATATTCAGTTCGCCAATCCCAGTCGGAACTGTCTAGTGAATTTAGTAATTATTTTTTTGCGAAGTCAGTTACTTTTTGACAAGGACAAAGTGATAGCTTTTAATCCTATCTCCGATAGGATGTGTTCAATACGAATTAAAAATAAGAATTGGAGTATAATCAATATTCATGCACCGTCAGAAGACAAGGATGACAAAATAAAAGATCTTTACTAACTTTGTACACTGCAGTAACTGGTAACTACAGTAAACACGAAGTAATAAACGATAATGGTCAAATACTTATTGGGTTTGCCACGGAGAAAAACATGGTGGTGAGAAGCACGCAACTAAAACGAAAAGAGATATACAAAGGTACGTGGGTCTCCCCAGATGGAAGGACGCTGAATCAAATAGATCATGCTATGATTGAAAGTAAATATATGAATATCGTTCAGAAGGTAAGAGGTATGAGAGGAGCTGAAATCGACTCGGACCATTACCTCGTTAAAGTCACATGTGGGAGGAGGATGGAAGAAAAAGAGATATCGAACAATAAAACGAAGAGAAAGTACAATATTGAAAAACTTAAGGAAGTAGAAATAAAAAATAAATATGACGAAAAAATAAATAAAATTCTACAACAATGTGACCAAAATTTACAGACAGATCAAGCCTGGGAACAAATTAAAACTGCCGTAGGAGAAGCTAGCGAGAAAATAGTTAAATGCAACTTCAAGAGAAATACAAACAAAGATTGGTTTGATGAAGAGTGTCAGGCGATAGCAAAGGAAAAGAAGTAGATCAGACAACAAATATTAACAGATAATAGAGAGTGTAAAAAACAAGAATATAGAATTTTTCGAGGAAGATTGAAAGCTCTGTGTAGAAGGAAAAAAAGAAACCACAATGAGTTGAAATTAAAAGGAATAAAAGAGAAGTTTAAAAACAAAGAAGTGAGGTCGTTCTATCAAGAAGTTAAAAAGATGGGAAAAGGTTATTAAAGCCACCGTAGTTATATGAAAGGTAAAGACAGAAATTTAATTAGCGATCCAGCGGAAATAATGACGGAATGGAAAACACATTTTGAAGAATTATTAAATGGTGAGGAGGACCACTAAGCAGTAGACAACTGGACAGTTGGAGAAGATGCGATAGTTGAAAGGCAGCCTACAGTATAGGAGGTGGTGACAGCAATACAAGAAATGAAAAATAACAGAAGTCCTGATAAAAATAACATATGCATAGAAATGATCAAGTTTGGTGGAGAACAACTACAAAGAAAAATATATCAGCTACTAGTGCAAGTATGGGAAAAGGAAGTAATGCCATCGAAGTGGTATGAGGCCCGCATATGCCCTCTGCATAAAAAAGGAGACAAACTTAAGTGTGACAACTGTAGAGGTATAGCCTTATTAGACACGGTAAACAAAATCTTGGCAAGAATATTGAGAAATAAATAATTGCTAGACGGAAAGAATCCTGCATGAATATCAGGTCGGCTTTAGAAAGGACAGATCTACTGTAGACCAAATCTTCTCATTAAAGGAGATACAAACGACTTGTTATGAAGGTAAAGTTCCCTGCATGTTTTTTTTGTGGATTTTAGACAAGCATATGATAGAGTCGATAGAGTCAAAATGTATCGAGCAATGGAACATTTGGGTATACCAAAGAAACTGATCCGGCTAGTTAAAATTAGACTTAATAACTCTACGTGTGAAATTGCTTGGCAGGGTCACATATCAGATCAATTTACGGTTGCAAAAGGCTTGAGACCGGGAGATCCTTTATCCACTACATTATTCAACTTAGTGTTAGAAACTGTAATCAGAAAATGCAGCATGAAGGTGGAAGAAACGATCATGAAAAATGAGCACCAGTGCTTGGCATTTGCTGACGATCTAAAGATCCTAGCAAAAACCGAGAAGGAATTAAGAAGAGTTATGAAGAAACAAACTTACCAAGTTTGTCAGGTCACAAAGAATCATATGGTTGGAACATGTGGAAAGAATGACAGCAAACAGAATGCCTAAACTAGTAATAATAAGAAAATTAATCGGCCCCAAAAGAAGAGGTAGACCTAGAACGAAGTGGATTAGTAAAGCGGAGAAAGACCTTAAACACGTGAAGGTGGGGGACTGAAAAATAGAAGCGAATGGAGAAATATTGTACACTAGGTCCTATAGAGTAGTTAAGAATGTTATATATACTATTTAAGTTAAAGTTGTGTTTAAAATAATTGTAATTAGTTAATATTAGGATTTATGTTATGCCCTAGGCCTTAACGGCCTGTTGTGCGTAAAAAATAAATAAAGTTACTTTTTGACAGACTAGAAATGGCTGGAAATTACTATACAACCAAGCACACGTGCTCATAGCTTATTTCACGAGAGTATTTTGTCGACCTTTTTTGCAAACTTATACTAATATTCTATTTATTATTCCTATCAGAAACTAGCTTTGGACGACCCGTGATTTTATCTTTTTTATCTAACGTACTATTATGTGGATTATATACCATAATATTGAGTACGTTTTGTGATCATATATTACTTAAAATATTGCTTCGTCATTGCTATCATCACTTTAAAAATAATAATAAATTGGTGGATAATATTAAAATTTACTCGTTTATTGAAACTATTCTCAATAAACTCAAGCTAAATGCTACGAAAAAGTTTAAGTTGGTTGCCTACATTTGGCGCAACTTAACGATATAAACTAAATTAGCTGAACTTTTTTATAAAATATATTTTTTATATATAATAGAAACTTGGTTTCTTTATACATGCGATACATTTCTAAGCGAATTTAATTTTTGACGCTGTTATCATTTAAATTAGTCGTTAATTTCCTTATATTTATTAGGCACAACTTTATATTTAGGTACACTTTTTTCTGAAACTTTCAGACATTTGGATGTTAACTGAAATGTTTTTGTTATTAAGAATATCTGTAACATTTACCTCATTTGATGAATACATTTTAATGACCAACTTAACTCGACAGAGTTTTCATTCGGCAAATAATTTAAAAAATGGTAGGCATTTTGAATAAACCCTTGTGCAGTTTCATTACCTTGTAATTTGACAGCATCCTTACTCATATAAAAATATTAACTTTTAATGAAAATTTTATCATATTTGTTAAAGAAAAACTTACCAACGCATTAGCTGATGGAACAAATGGAAAACCTTGAATATCCATAATAATAAAATTCAAAATAGGACCAACTAATTAACTAAATAGAACTAACAAAAGAATTAAACAAAAATAATAAAACAATAAAAGTATATTAAAAGAAATAAACAATGCGAATAATACAAATATTTCCTACAATATGTTAAACTGTGCCAACACAAATATTATATTTTAAATATACAGGGAGAATTTTATGGGTTTAGTATACACTTCCACTATTTAGAATAATTCTTTTTTTTTTTTTCAAAGGAAGAAGTCTGCAATAGTAGTATATTTGAGCTATTTACTGAGAAGTAGGAATTTTTGTGTTGTAGGTTTTCGACTATGAATCTGTCAAAATATGCCCGAGCTAAGCGAATGGACCTTATAAAATATAATACAAGGGAAATTCTAAGAAGAAGTTTTATTTGAATAAAATGCATTATATTCTTAATAACGAAAATAAGGAAGTCTGTGTTAATATTATCCATTTCTAATCTAATTTATATTAAATAATGATAAACAGTAACACAATTAAATATTTGGTGGAAGCCCCATTATTGTCAATATAACCTTGCAATATTGTCAATATAACCTCTTCTGTTCATAGATAGCACCAATCACCTCATGTTATATTCAACAAGCTTCTCGCATGCTGCCCAATTGCTTCCCATAGTTCAATTGTATTCCGTGGCCTAAGATTTCTTTCATTTAATTTTTTTATCAAGTCTGCCCACACATTTTCAATGGGGTTAAGGTCCGGGCCCAGGGAAGGCCACGTAAAAACATTAACATGAGTTTTCTTCAACTCATGTTAATGTTTTTACGTAGCCTTCCTGGGCCCAGATCTTGAAGAAACTCATGTTAATGTTTTTTACGTGGCCTTCCCTGGGCCCAGACCTTAATCCCATTGAAAATGGGGTTAAGGTCTGGGCCCAGGGAAGGCTCTAGGGTCTGAAAATATTAACCCAGACTTCCTTATTTTCGTTATTAAGAATATAATGCATTTTATTCAAATAAAACTTCTTAGAATTTCTTCTTAGAATATAATATGTGGTCATTGAGAAGAATGATGCGCATACCTTGGTGGATAGAGTTCGAAACGATGACGTCCTTAATAGAGCCGGCGTGAAGAGAACTTTTTGAATTAATTAAAAAACGCAAGATTGGTTACCTTGGCACATATTTAGAGAGCAAAATATGAAATACCACAGTTAATCCTACAAGGGAAGATCGAAGGTAGGAGAGGCCGCAAACAATTGTTCTGGTTAAGGAATATTAAAGAATGGACAGGAATACACAATACAGGTGAGCTGTGTCACGCCGCCAAGAACAGAATTCTAGTAATGAGATAGTCGCCTACGCACTTTGGTGTATGGCATGTTAAGAAGAAGGAAATATTTGTATTATTCGCATTGTTTATTTCTTTTAATATACTTTTATTGTTTTATTATTTTTGTTTAATTCTTTTGTTAGTTCTATTTAGTTAATTAGTTAGTCCTATTTTGAATTTTATTATTATGGATATTCAAAGTTTTCCATTTGTTCCATCAGCTAATGCGTTGGTAAGTTTTTCTTTAACAAATATGATACAATGTTCATTAAAAGTTAATATTTTTATATGAGTAAGGATGCTGTCAAATTACAAGGTAATGAAACTGCACAAAGGTTAATTCAAAATGCCTACCATTTTTTAAATTATTTGCCGAATGAAAACTCTGTTGAGTTAAGTTGGTCATTAAAATGTATTCATCAAATGAGGTAAATGTTACAGATGTTCTTAATAACAAAAACATTTCAGTTAACATCCAAATGCCTGAAAGTTTCAGAAAAAAGTGTACATAAATATAAAGTTGTGCCTAATAAATATAAGGAAATTAACGACTGACTTAATGATAACAGCGTCAAAAATTAAATTCGCTAGAAATGTATCGCATGTATAAAGAAACCAAGTTTCTATTATATAAAAAAATATATTTTATAAAAAAGTTCGGCTAATTTAGTTTATATCGTTAAGTTAAGTTAAGTTCTCTATGCTGTCCAGTCTGGTATCTGCTTTGGCAATCGATCTTCCAATCTACCACTTCAGTTGTTTGTGTTTTATGTAGTCTATCATTGGGTGTAAAACGTTCATAAACCTACGGATTACTCATTTGTAAATCTTTCTCGACATGATCTTCCAGGTGACCTTCTCCAGATGTCCATTTCCGTGACTAGAAGTATTTTGTCTGTTTTGATTTTTAGTGGCCAAACTTCGGAACCATACGTGATAATACTTTTTAGTGGTGTTGTCTGGTATATCCTTCTTTTGTTTTCTTTGGAGATATTTTGATCCCACAGAACTCCATTTATTTATCATTTTTATAGCTTTTTATCCTTGAATATTTTTGTCTTTTATTGCTTTGCCCAGGGTTTAATGATCTGTCAATTCCCAGGTTATATGCTATACGTTCTGCAATATTAAGAATCATATCTTCATTTACTCCTCTTACACATATATATTCAGCTTTGTGCATATTTACCTTTAGGTTCCACTTTTTGTAGTCTTTAACTAATTTGCGTGTCATATATTCTAAGTCGTATTTTTTCGTGCTAATACCAATTGATCATTCGCAACGGATAGTATATAATATATTATGTGGTTTTCTGTTTATGGAATTTTTTTATACTTCCATATTTTTATACTTCCAGTTTTAAGGTATGTTCCAAGTATATCTTAAATATGGTCGGTGATAGACACCATACCTGTTTTAGACCATTGTTTACCATTAGTATATATACCATTGCTATATATTATCTTTTATTTCATTTTAGGAATTTTTTGTCCTTCGAAGAATATTACGATCAGATTTTAGCTGTAAACGTAGCCTGTCAAGCTGGTCACTGGAATGTCGTAGCACTATTAGCGAAATCGAGAGGTTTGCAGCCTGAAGTTGTTACTGCTTTAGGGCAAATTTTACAAAGCGCTAGAGCTCCAAAACCTTCTGAAAGAGACTTTTTGTATGCTCTTTCTGAACCTTGTCTTACACAAAGTTTACTTATTTTTGGACAGTGTTCGCAATATATTTTCCAGTATGTTAGGTGAGTATCTCAATATAGCGTTATGTACGTATTTTTTATTGTTTCTACTGTTGGGTTTATATATACAGAGCGATCAACTCTGATTTCACTTATGAAATAGAGAAACAGTTTTATGCTAAACTAATAGATACAGTATAGTTTTACGTTTTAAAATTTATTTTAATATGTATAGAGTGTCTCATAGAATTGGTGCGAATTAAAGATGATGTTTTATAATAGAGCAACCTTTATATTCTTTTGAATTTGAATTGTTCTTATATTTTCCATCGAGTTAATTTAAGGTTTTAGTGTAATTCAAGAAGCTTTGATAATTACCGGCAAGTCTCTATAATTAGTAGAAAAACACAATTATCTTGGTACAATAATAAATCATACAAACCATTACCCAAAGAAGTCAAAATTCGAATAGAAAGACGAAGAAATTTCAATAAAATCAGAAAGTACATGTACATATGTTACTTTGTACAAGAGACCTGAAACTGGAATTGAAGAGAAAAACTAGCAAGTTGTTACATTTTCTTGACTCTCTCTCTACAGAATGGAGACGTGGATCCGTAGCACACAAACAAGTCTTCAAGAAAAATTAACAAAGGAATAAAAATAATGGAAATGATCAAAACAAGAAAGCTGCAATATATGTGACGTATTATGAGTGGAGAGGATATGTGCTTTAATTGATTATAAAAGGGAAGATCCAGGCCAAGGGAAGCATAAGAAGATCCCATGGCTGCATAACTTGAGGGAATGGTACGGATGAACATCAATTGAACTAGAGCAGTCCCATCTAAGATCAGAATAGCTATGATGATTGCTGTCGCAGAGTAGCACATAAAGAACATAAGGACGCTTTTAAAGTTATGGTCAGTTTTAGTGATAATATTAAAAAACTGGCGATTTACATAATTAAAAACTGAGCATTCAGAGTTAATTGCAAGACCACTAAGTGTCAGGATCAACTAGCATGAAACGTACATCAAAAACAGGGACTTCGGCAAATCACAGATTTGCAAATATCTATGGAACGACAAACACAGAGAATAATGCATCAATTGTCATGAAAGGAACAGACATGAAAACGAGAAAAATCAAAGAAGCAGCTCTGATCTTACTTACTTAATTAAGAAAAATGGGTTGCGAACCTATCAGCAGAACGTAGCAAGCTGTGTTTGCCAATACTTAAAAAAGAAACAATTATTATAAAATGTAAGTTTCATTACAATCAATTGCAGCTTAATCCCATATAAACATTAATTCAAATTAACAGAAGATTGTGAATACTTTAGATTGGCATATGACACACTCAAGATAGGAAAACTCGTGGAGGTGTGGAGGCAACTCGGTGTACCAAGTACACTAATGAGTTTGATTAGGATGACACTAATAGATACCCAAAGTGTTGTGAGAGTAGGTGGATGGATTAAAATTATAGTGAGACAGAATGGAATCAATGTTGTCATATTGTTTAACCTTGCACTGGAAAAAGTTTGGGGTAACTAAGGTAACCCATTATTTAACATACTAGTTTAATAATACCTTAAACATCCAATAATACCCAAAACGTCCAATTAAACCATTGTCGTGTGTCGTTAAGACACAGGTCGGAACTCCCCTATAGTCCTGACCTGTAACTTAACGATTTTGTAAGTTTCCTAAAATCAAGGATAGACTGCGTGGTGATAGGTTTCAGTCGCCAGAAGATACTTTTAAAAACGCAAATAGACTAAAACAAAAATTTAAAAGAATAACAGTTTCCAGAGTTGGTTTGATCGAATGCAAAACTATACAGCAATATTCGTGAAGGATATTTCATAAGTAATAACGTTCTAAAAGATATCTGTTTTATTCCAGCCTTTAGTGGTGTATTTAATACTTAAATTATTTTTAGGACAAATATTGAACACTTTCCCGTCGCTATATTACGTCGTCTAGCAATCCAACTAGACCCTAGTCAACCGAGCGCCATTCCTCTAGTCAGTAGATTGTTCCAAACTACAAAATATTCGTCCAGTCTGGAAACAACTATCGAATGTATTGATTTTGAAAATCCAGACAGGACAATAGTGACGGTGAAAGATTTAATTGATACATTCCTCATTATTATTATACATTTAATTTGGAAGACTGAAAATATTGGGTAAGTTACAAAACACAAATTAGAATACGAAAAAAAGTTTTGTAAACTTTTTAGTGATATTTTCTTTTATGTATATAATTTTATTTGTTTTAGTTTTGAATTATCTCTCTTAGAAAATGTACAGCCTCCCGACGTACCGCCTCCAGTAATTCCCCTAAAAAATCTACCCGATTTTCATCCTCTCAGCTGTGGTTTTGAACACGCAGCTATTATTCGCAATAATAATGTTTATACAATGGGTGTAGCTAATTCTGGCTGTCTGGGATTGGGCCCTCTATTGACACAAAGCAGTCCCGCAAGGCTAGTACAAACTTTATCTGAATTGAAAGTTAGAGTATTAAGTGTGAGTTGTGGAAAGAAGCATACCTTGGTACTTACAGATTTTGGGGTAAGTAGTTGTTGAATATTGATCCAGTTTAAATGAGATTTTTATATAAAATGGTGGTTTTATAATTTGATACGATAAAATACTTGATGAATTTTGATATTATATAGACAGACAAGTGGCACTTGGTCTCCGAGAAGCATTAACTAATAACGGAGACTTGCAATAAGAAAATTAAATTGTGGAAACCCATGCGTCTACTTTCTAACTATAATATTTCGACTGCTCATTTATTTAAACCTTAAATTATATTTAATATTATATTTTCTTAGATATTAATTTACTATTTGTTGAATTTTTCACGCTATTTTTTTGTATACGTATTTGTCTTCACCATCAACTTGCAGGACGCGGTGTCTGTTGACTTAAGGTTTATTTGCAGCAGTTCCTAAGTTGATTGGCAATTTACCGTCATCGGTTTTAAGTGTCATCCAGTAATTCTTTTTCAGGGTGGGTGCTGTTCTCTACTATCTAGTCTAATTTATCTGAGATCACCTAACGCTATTTTACGTAGATATCTCCAAAATAAAATATTGGGAAGTCGCTTACAGATTTTATTTAAGAATTGTACATATAAAAGTTTATTTGCTTCTCTGATGCAAAGTAAAATCCAATAAATAAAATTGTTATAAAGAATAGAGAGATAATAAATAGAGAACTAAAATATAATTTATACCACATACAGTTTTTTATAAATAGGTACTTTAAAATAAAAACAAACAGTTCATATTCAACAAATGAAGAATACATTAGAACCAGAACAATTTACATTCACATTTGAAAGTATTTGTGGGATTTTCATTCCGTAATTGCTATGCTATGTAAACTATGGCTACGGGAAAAGAAACGATAGAGGAGAAATGCTTCTCAATTTCATGAATGAACATAACAATGTACTCAATGAACTCCTTTTTCAATAAAAAACCAAGCATGAAAATGGACCATGGATGAGCCCCGATAAAAAGATAAAGAAAATGAAATAGTTATATATCTGTAACGAAGAATAGAAACCTAGTAGAAAACTATCAGTATTAAATCACTTTGACCTAGGAAGCGATCATAGACTAATAAGAACAAAACTAAAATTCAAAACAAAAAACTAGAAAGAAAAAGAATACATTGAAAAAAGATACAAATGACATCTGAAGAAATCTAAAAATAGTCAATTTAATAAAAACGATAGTGCATGCATTAAATCAAGTTGCGGATCATAGATAAACTCCAATGATATTGATGATTTGAATAACCTTATTACCGAAACATGTAATAAAAGCCTCTGCAACTAAAAAAAAAACCAAAAACAACACATACAATAAATAGAGAAAGAAATATACAACAAATAGAAAGAAGGAAGATCTTAAATAAATCTAACACAACAGGAACCGACGAATATAGAGAACAGATTAGAAAAGGAATCAGTACAACAAAAAAGAAAAGCAAACGAAAAATTAATAACAACAACTATTGAAAAAATAAGAGTATGAAATGCCTCAGACCGACACTAGACTAACGTCAGATGAGATCATTAATGGAAAAGACGAAAATGAAATCACTACTAGAGAAAACATACTGACACGAATAGAAGAATTTTACACAAAAACTTACAGACACACATCAACAAGATGATGGAATGAACCAGCACGTAAATTAATAAAAAAAAGTTGAATCAGAAATAATGGCCAAAAGTAACAATTTCAGAGGTAACTGCAGCATTGGAAAATATGAAGAAAATAAAGCTGCAGGAGAAATAGTATACCACAGATAGATATTAGAAGGAGTATGGAACTAATTGCAATTGTAAACTAACTTGGAGACATTGTTTATACATCAAGGTGCAAAGTCCCTAAGAGCTGGAACAACTCTAAAGTAATCTTATCTACACAAGAAAGGTGATAGTCAAAATTGGAAAACTGCAGACCCATCAGCCTACTGTCACACCTGTTTAAAATACTCACCAAAGTCATAAACTACTAACAGGAAATTAGACGAATACCAACCATATGAACAGCAGGTTTTAGAAAAGGCTATTCAACTTCCAATCACCTGTTAACCACAAAAATATTTATAGAAAAATGTAACGAATACAAGTTTCCAGTTTTCCTAGCATTTGTAGACTACGAAAAAGCTTTCGATACCATAGAACACACGGCCGTAATAAACGCAATGCAAAATTGTAGAATAGAACAGCAGATATATTAACTTTAATAAAAGAAACCTATGAACCAAGCTACAGCTACATACTACCTAAATGAAAATGAACACACGAACCCTGTACCATTAAACAGGGAGTCAAACAGGAGATACTTTATCACCCAAACTGTTCACCTTAGTATTGGAGGAACGTTTATAAAAACCTAAATTGGAAATATAAGGAATAAACATCAATGGCCGCTACCTCAGTAATCTACGATTTGCAGATGACATAATCCTGATAGCTAACTGACCTACAAGAAATGCAAACCATGCTTTAAGAACTACATACCGAATCTTCTAAAATAGACTGAAAATGAAATTTAAACAAACAAAAAGTCATGCACTCCGAAGACCACCGTGACAATAAATAAACGATCAAAGTTATAGAAAAAGTTGAAGAAATGTATATACTTAGGACAAAAATAATACTAAATAGGAAATTCAAACTGAAGAAATAAAAGAAGAAGAAAGTTAGCTTGGCACATTCGTAAAACTGAACTATATACTCAAAATCAACAAATTCAATTACATCTTAGATCTAAATTTTTGATGCATGCATTATTCCGATATTAACTTATGCGGCACAAACATGGACAATCACAAAAAGAATATGAATATACTTAGAGTCACTCAACACGCGATGGAAAGAGCATGCTAGGTATATCACTTAAGACAAGAAAAACAAACACATGGATAAGACAGAAAAACCAAAGTCACCGATGTGGTGCAAAAATCATTAAAGTTGAATAATGGAATCTGCTAGGACATGTAGCTAGGAGCGATCTAAACAAATGGCACAATCAAGTTTTAACCTGGAAGACCATACCAACACAAAAGACCCAAGGCAGACCTCCTATTCTGAAAAGGACTGCCCGGAAAAAAAGTGGCTACAAAGTAGCGTACAGATAGAAAAAAGAGTACAAAACAAGTTGGTGTGAAATGGAGACACTTAGAAAGAGGCTTATGTTCAATGTGCGGAACGATGATTGGCTAGACCGAAGAATTAGAGCAGAAGAAAGATTGCTTTTGGTAATTTGAAACTACGTCTAAACAGTGAGCAACAAGAAAGTCTGAGTGTTTCTTTTATTTATATTTAAAATGAACTTACCCGGAAATTTTTCCCACTATGATGAAATCGAGACATTTCATAAGTCAAATATGATACGGGAAACTTTTAACTTTGAATATCAAATAAGATATAATAATAATAATAATCAAAATTAATAACAAACTTTTATATTAAAGAATTTTTTAAAAAACTGAAAGAATTTAAGTTACGATGGAGCGATACAAAACTAACACACAAAAATACAATGTACCACAAGAAAACTGACGATATTCCTGTACTAGCGGCTGTATAACCATGTATATACAAATAATACCCACTTATATAGGATTTTTAATAAATTATTTGAAAAAAACAGTGTACTCAAAGGGTAAATTGTTACAAAAGTTGCGTGATGTGGTGGACCACTCAGTCCCACTAATGCAATTAAATTTAGCCCTTCTTTCTCATAAGAACACCGAATCTTATTACAAAAGAAAACTATGCAAACAATTAAACTTAAAATCTCTCTAGCTAGTAAAGTTTATTTCTAAAATTCGTTGCAAGCACATATTGGCTACTCCTATAACTTAAGAAGTTGATAGCACGATTTTGTATCGGAACGGTAAATAACAATTGACTTGCTTTAATGTAATCATCCAAGTACAAATTAATGGGCAAGGATATTGCTAAATATCCTTACCGATTTATAACTCTTTCTGATCCTGGCGTGAAGCGGTCAGAGGCAAACTTGGACCAGCTCCTCTCTCCAATACTGGGTCTTCTCGCAGTTATAATCCAAGAAGTATATTCAATACCCTTCCTGCTAACGAACTTCAGTCTAACAATATCAGGTAAACCAGCTTGTACTACAATTGTCAGTAAATCACACTTATTTAAAATGCGCAGGAAATTATCTACAAGGTTTTTCCAAGTATAATAATCGTCAACTTCACTCCTATTGCAGAACGTTTATGGGTAAACTTTATCGCATGATGGCTTAAAATTCTTTAACAGAGTGGACGATGGTCTCACCAAGGTAGCGAATAGTAAGTGCACTTATGTATCTTAAAATTCCGCATTTCTGTCTTTGTAGCTACTGCGTACACACATTAAAATGAGAATCTACTCTGAAAAATTCTTATTTTTGTGTATTTTCTCTAGATATTTGTAACCTGTCCTAAGCGAATTTCCTTTACGAGCATAGAATAAATCTCTTTAATAACAGATGCTTGGTACCTTATGCGTTAAAAGAAGGACAAGAGATAATACATTTTCGCGTTGTGTTAGATAATTTTCATAAGAAAGATTTTGAAATTGTGGGATTTCTGCAAGATAGTCTGTCGACAACGCTAAATTATCTGGAATTTTACCTCAACTTTCATCAAGACTAAACCATCTTCAGTCTGACTGCGTTATATCATGCATGTTGCACCCTGTATCATTAATTTTTTTAGGTGACCACTGAGAACCTGAGTTTCCCTCTTAATCTGTTGATGAACAGAAGCTGTAAATGTTGAATGAGATCATTAACAACCATCATTTCTGCCATAAACTAAATGCGCATCAACGTATTCCCTCATTAGGTCAAAACCCATTCTTTGTTGAAAAATGACAAATTGTTGCGATTTGCGAATATACCACATAAGTTCAAAAACTAAAAGATACATGTTTCTCGCAAACCTGCGATCACAATTTAGACAATGAACAAACATAAGTTGATTATACATTCTGGTGACACTCATCAAGCCGAACTATTGAGAAA